ATTGGTACGTACAATATTGCACGTACTTATAATTTGTTTTATACTCTAACAACTCAGTATAATTTTCATTGTTAACAATATTTTACTTTATAACTATTTTCTAGACATTTTAAAAAGGTTATAATCATAACCATAATTTTTAAATGGGTGGACAGGTAAGCCAGCGGAAGGCTTCGGTCAGTTGATCGAAAGCTCCAGACAACCGGCGTCAGGAAACACTTGTCCTGTTTCCTGACAAACCATCTCGACAATACTTCCCTTGCCATCACACTGTTATTGTGTGTGTGTATGTGTGTGTGTGCGTGGTGTGTGTTGTGTGTGTGTGTGTGTATGTGAGTGTGTGTATGTGTGTGTGTGTGTGTGGTGTGTGTGTGTGTGTGTGTGTGTATGTGTGGTGTGTGTGTGTGTGTGTGTGTATGTGAGTGTGTGTAGGTATGTGTATGTGTGTGTGTGCGTGTGTGTGTGTGTGTGTGTGTGTGTGTATGTGAGTGTGTGTATGTGTGTGTTGTGTGTGTGTGTGTGTGTGTGTGTGTGTGTGTATGTGTGTGTGTGTGTGTGTGTGTGGTGTGTGTGTGTGTATGTGAGTGTGTGTATGTGTATGTTGTGTGTGTGTGTGTGTGGTGTGTGGTGTGTGTGTGTACTCACCTAGTTGTACTCACCTAGTTGAGGTTGCAGGGTTCGAGGCCAAGCTCCTGGCCCCGCCTCTTCATTGGTCGCTACTAGGTCACTCCCCCTGAACCGTGAGCTTATCATACTTCTGCTTAAAGCTATGTATGGATTCTGCCTCCACTACATCGCTTCCCAAACTATTCCACTTCCTGACTACTCTGTGGCTGAAGAAATACTTCCTAACATCCCTGGATTCATCTTGGTCTTCACTCCAACTGTGTCCCCTGTTTACGTGTCCCACCTGGAACATCCTGTCTTTGTTCCCTTGTAAATTCCCTCTCGTTTTTTTTGTAGTTTTTACAGTCCCCCCATCTCTCCTGTCCCCCATGTCGCAGGTTGATTCCCTTAACCTCTCCTCGTAGACATACCTTTTAGCTCTGGGACTAGCTTGTTGCAAACCTTTGCACTTTCTCTTTTTTTACGTGTTTGGGGCTGGGTGGGGGTTTCCAAAACTGTGCCGCATACTCCAATGGGGCCTAACGACACGTGTACGGGTCCTGAATGTTTTCCTATTAAGATGTCGGAAGCTTCTAGGTTTGCCAGGCGCCCAAAACTGAAAATTTTTTGGTTGATTGCGCTTCAGAGAGGGCCCGGGTTTATACTCCCCCCCAAGATTTTTTTCATGAGAGTTTTTAGTCTCGGGCCCCCCTAAACTGTACCCGTCTGCGTCTTCTTGCCCACCCCAATTTTCAGATTTGCATTTGGGGGGGTTGAACTCCAAGCCAATTGCGGACCGGGTTTTGAGCCTTTCCAGACCCTTTTTGTATTTTCTGCCGGGTCTTCGATCGATAATTCTTCTCATCAACTTCACATCATCTGCAAACGGGGACACCTCAGAGTCTTTTCCCTTTCCGTCAGGTCGTTCACAAAACCAAAACACCTGGTCCTAGCACGACCCCTGTGGTGTGTGTGTTTTGTGTTTTTGGTTGTGTGTTGTGTGTGAGTGTGTGTGTGTGTGTGTGGGGTGTGTGTGGTGTGTGGTGGTGTGTGTGGGTGTTTTGTGGTGTGTGGTGTGTGTGTGTGTGGTGTGTGTTGTTGTGTGTGTGTGTGTTGTGTGTGTGGTGTTTTGTGTGTGTTACTCACCTTTTTGTGTTGCAGGGTCGAGTCTTACTCCCCCCCCGCCTCTTCCCCGGGTTGCACTGGGCCCTCCTTTCCCCCCCGCTCCATGAGTTTTTATCAAACCTCGTCTTAAAACTGTGTATGGTTCCTCTCCACTACCATTTTCAGCTATCCACTGCCTTACAACTCTATGACTGAAGAAATCTCCAAATCTCTCTGACTCATTTGTTTCAATTTCCCAAATTTGTGGCCCTCTTGTTTCTGGTCCCCTCCCGGGAAACACCTGTTTTTGTCCCCCTTTCATTCCCGCAGTATTTTAAAATGTCGTTATCAGCCCCCGACCCCCTGTCCCCCCAGTGCGTAAAACCGATTTCCCTTAATCTTTCTTCATAGACATTCCCCTTAGCTCTGAACTAACCTTGTCGCAAACCTTGTACTTTCTCATTTTCTTGACGTGCTTATCAAGGGGGGTTCCAAAACAGGTGCTGCATATCCAGTAGGGGCCTGACATCCCGGGGTTTCAGTGCTTGAACGATTCCTTACAAAGGGTATCGGAATGCGTTCTCGGGTTTGCCCAGGCGCCCAAAAAAAATGGAGAGTTATCTATTGAGTTGTTTCCCGGGAACATTTTCGGTGTTATACTCCCCCAAGATCTTTCCCTTAAAGGGGGGTTTGCAGTCTTGGCCCCCAAGCTATACCTGTCTGGGGCTTCTGTCCCCTTCCCCTATTTTCATGCTTTGCATTTGGGCGGGGTTTAAATTCGAGAAGCCATTTGCGGGACCGGGTGCCCATCTGCCGGGTCTTTTTTAATCCTCCGGGTCCCACAATTTAATTCCCCTCATTAACTTCAATCACTGCAAACAGGGACACTTTTTGATCAAACCCCTTTCCACATGTCGTTCAATATACCAAAAATACACGGGTCCAGACCGACCCCGGGGGGATCCCGCTCCACGGGGCCCCTTTTGAACATCATTACGTCCCCATAAACTCGTTGTTGCCTTTCCCGTCGGGACTCTATCCATTGCAGGCCCTTCCTGTTTTAGCGCCCTATGCTCCCCAGCTTCGCACTAAACTCTTGTGAGGGAACGTGTCAAAGGCCTTCTTGCAGTCCAAAAGAGCAATCAAACCCCCCCCTCTCTCTCGTTCTTACTTTTGTTATTTTTCATAAAACTCCAGAAGGTTTGTGACACAGGATTTACCTTCCATGAATCCGTGCTGTTGGGATTTAATCTTTTTCCGTTCCAGGTGCCCACCACTCCCCCCCTGATAATCTTTTCCAAAATTTTGCATACTATAAACTCAATACACAGGGCTATAGTTTAGTTCCGGTTTTTTT